TTTGTATTCTGCAGATGGCAATGGTATGTTCTGTCTATGTTGTTAATTTAAATGCGATACCTCAAACAACTTAGACGAAAATAAATACCAAGTTTGGGGCATAATTGCATGTAGGCACATGTTTTGCCATTTCTTCGAAACTCACCTTGAATAGCAATAATCACATCTTAAGACGACACTTACCTAGGCTATACATAGATCATTCTTAAAACGTTTAGCATCTCTACCATAAATAGCTTCGGCTACAGCGGGCTTCAAATCTGGCACAAACGATCATCGTCAAAAACCCGTCGTCCTTCCTCGCCCCTTCGGGAATTTATTTCTTTAAAACTAAGCATGCCAGAACATTGAAATAAGCGGCATTGTCTTTGGTAAGAAGCGCAGCACCGCATGTAAAAGTTCGAGAAAAAAAATTACGAATGTACCTCACTAGTTGAATTCAAATGAAGCCGTCCGCCGGTATTTCCAAGTTCGACGAACGTCGAACTTTTACCCTAAACGTTTGAAGTTCGTCGAACTTCTGACTTTCCAGAATTCGAAAGTTCGAAACTTTTCTAATTGTAGCGATAAATAAGTTCAAAAGTTCGAAAATATTGAATTCCTTAGCGTAGGAAATTCGAAAGTTCGAAAAGCTTCGACCTTTTTAGTGCAAGAAGTTCGAAAGTTCGAAAATTATCGAATTTTTCGGTCAGTCAAGTTCGGAAGTTTGACAATCATCGAATTTTGCAGCTTGATAAGTTCGAAAGTTTGAAAAGGATCGAACATTTTAGCGTAATAAGTTGGAAGGTTTGGAAAGAGTCGAACTTCTTAGTTTAACAAGTTCGAAAATTTGAGTTCCGTCGAATTTACCATATAGAAAATTCGAAGTCTTTCGAACCTTTCGAACTGCGTGATTTGATCAGCGAAACTTCGGTTCAAAAAAAGTTCGCGGCATCCCTAGTTGGAAGATCAGCTGATATTTGCAAAGATGGAGACATATGTTGCGTAGACGGGGGGGGGGAGGTTGCAGGATAAGATACTTCTTACAATTTTTACTGCAACAACCCTCCAATGAGGCGCGGGGGCTGGACAGACACATCACGAGTGAGTCCGAGTAACTGCGATATTAACGCCGAAAACTGGCGGTTTTTTGTGTCCTGAATCTCACGAAGTCTTGACGCATTTGAAGAAACGGCTTGTCCCTGCTTCTTCACAACGTAGGAACTCTCTCCAACTACAGGGGATCTGAACACTGCATCCTCACTCAAAGGGGGCAACAAAACGCAGCACTAGCTCTGAGGCTCATCTGGTGCTCCCGTAGTTTGTGATGTAATTGAAGAATCGCGTGCCAAGGATCAACGCACGGGTGATCTCTTTGCGTTGCCTTTTCTCCCAAATCTCTAACTATTAAGATTTTTCAAGATTTGCCGCTCATTCGAGAGGCCTTATTATGTCCCCCAATGTTTATATGAAAAAAATAATAATAAGCAACCAGTTTCGGAAAGTACATTAATTACAGAGCGCGACACTGTTAGTGGGAACAAGCGATCGCCGGTTTTCCTGTTTTTTCTCTTTGAAACCAAGGGAAACCAAGAGCTCATTTAGTTCTATAGTAAGCGATAAAAGTTCGTGCTCGCTTATACTATTTAGAATTAATATGCAAAAATGCGCCGATGTCGCGTTCCCGCTAACTGTGTCGCGATGTGTACATGGTGCTTATAGATTACTTCCAGTAACTTCAGAAAACTTGTACTTGGCTCGAACTATATTCTCTGCGCATGGACTTTATAGTTTACCAAACTTTTTTTTACTTATACTTTTCGAGGGAAGCACATCTCCCGACTTCAAAACACATTCCCCAAATTCGAAAACAAAAAAAATGGCATATCGTCATGGGAAAACACGCTACAGTCTTCCGAAACGTCATCTGGTCATCTCTCTGGGTGAAGTAATAGCGACTATAAAACTGATACAAATAAGTGTCTCATTCTCTCATAAGTTTATTATGTTAAATAGTTCGAAGTAAAACATACTCTGGTGGCGACTTAACTTTACCCAATATCTCCCGCAATTTTCGAAAAAAAACTGATGCACCTCCGATTATCACTGGAGCAAGACATAAGAGACTAAAAAATTAAAAAAAAAAAAAACTATATAGGGGATGAAAGGCATCATGAAAGATTGCGTGAAAAAGTACGTGTACATTACTTTGAAAATACATTGTATTTATAGTAATTTACTACTTGAAGTACATTACAATTTGCGTACTTACTAATTTACTTCAATTACGTAACCTATAGTTTGATTTGTACTTTACGCCATGCACTTTTTAGATGCACAGTGCGCCTCAATCTTAACGCCACCACGGCATTTGACGTTTCTGAAAGTACGTGTGGCGGCCGACTGAACTATCTGAAGAATGCAGATATGCTTCAGCTCGCGTGCAATAAGGGCAGCTGCCAACGCTATGAGCGCTCCTAGCCTTCGCTGCGGTACAACATAAGGTGAAAGAGAGTATAGACAAGGTTTTTTAACGTTAAGAAGCGTTAAGAAGCCCGTGTTGCAGGAATGACGGCGTCAATGGCGTGACGCAAAAATTCTGTTTCGTTTTCAGGGTCATGGCATCACAGCCACATGACCTCGCGCGGGGAATTTTTAACAATCCACAACGCTCACGTGAAACGTGACGTCACGTTGGAATGAAAGTGCTTAAAACATTGCATGTAATGCGAATTAAAGAACGCCGCCTGTCTCCAATAATCTCACTTTATTGAGTAATTTATTTGTCTCGGAAGAAAATTCGAAGATTTGAAGGCGGGATTCGAACACATGACCATTCCGTTGCGAACGAGATGCGCAACTGACTCGGCCACGCAAGGTACGCTTGTAGCGTTCCCGCTCTTGAAGACGAAGCTTAACCGTCCTCCAAGGTTTTTTTCTGTTTCGCAGTAGCAAAACCTTTGGAGATACACTTTCGTCTTTCATTTTCCCGAGTATTATTATTTTGCTGTTTCTTACAGCTCAGAAACGTAAAGGCTAACGGAAACCTAAACAATAATCTAGAGTCAACCTGCTTTTACTCCGAGTCAGAAGTAACCGACGAATTCTAGAATTCATAGGCGTTTATCGTCCATTTCACAAATATCTAGAGTGCAGACAAAGTCACAGGCGCGTGGGCGGCCGTGGCTCAGAAGAATGCCCTGTTTGCACGAAAACTCACGCGCAGAGTGCACTATCGAAAGGCACGCGCTGGCGCCCGTGCCTTTGTCAGCAACGATCCCGCGTTTTGTGCACGGCGTACGATACTTCAGCAATACAGCTCAGCGGACATGCTCGGCCGGGTTCACCCATTTCCAGAACCCCAACGATAATTTAGAATCACCCTGAACTTACCTCGAGTCAAAGGTATAACAGACAAATAGTAGAATAGACTGGAGTCTAATGTCTGGTGAAAATAAGAAATAGAAAGAAGCGAACCTGTGCTCTGTGCTATAGGGGCACTATACTTCAACGATACACCTCGGTGAACGTGCACGCTTTGCCGGGTTTAGCCATTTGAAAAAGAGTCAGAACCGAATGCTATATATATATGGACTCGAACCCCTTGTAAAGAATAAAAGGCCGATGTGTTCCGCATGGCTCTCGGTATTTCTGACAAGGCTCTCAATCATCCATACTTTAGAGCTCGCACGCGCGGGAGCCATCTCGAACTCCAAACCGCAACCCGGTGCATCTGGCGCCTTTGAACTAAGTCGGCTGACGCGCGTGCACCAACACACGCGACAGCATTTGCTCGTCTGTATATCTTCGGCCTCGATGTCATTTTTACGCTATGTCTATTGTTTATAGTTATGAATGGCCGGGAAAGTATACACCTCAAGATAACTAGTTCATGCGTGACGATGGATGGCTGTCGGTTTAGTCATGGAGAAAACGAATACAGTTATAGGGTGTACTTACTAAAAAGAAAAGACGTGTCACGGATACCGACAAATCACTATCACCTGTCGTTTTGAACACTGGAGTAGCTGCAAGATGACAGTGAGACAAAATTTACCTTTGGCTCCAGCCCTAAGAACAGGCACTCGCTCTTTGAGTATCGCAGCAATGGACTTTTAACGAAGTTCGATTGAGGTACCTGTAATTCTTGAAGCTGTTACAATCTACGTTCGGATTCATGCCTGTGATCTGACGCAAAAGAACTAAAGCTGTCATGGATGTCTTATGCAAAAACTTTCCGACTGGTTTGCAACGAGTTTCTCAGAACTGCTGTCATCCAACGCCACAGGTGAGCGATCCACCTCTGCGAACTCTGATCTCTCTGAAGCAGAGTCTCAAACCGAAATTTTTATCGGTTCGGTTCGAGTTTGGGTTTACGGCTTTCGGTTCAGTTCCGGTTCTGTTCCGGGAAGCAAAAGATAACGGTTCAAACCGGCTCGAACCTGTGCGAACCGGTTTGAACCGCTAAATTTCGAATATATTTTCCGCATTGTTCTTGCAATAGGCACTATATACGCCGTGAAACGATTAACTATTTAGTTTCCTTTTTTCGTCCGTACAATCCAATCCTTTTTTCGGGTACCAAAAATATAACATTCCATTATTTAATTTCAACAATACAGAAAAAACAAAATCTGCATTAACGTGCAAAACGCCATGTTCATAGGACTCAGCATCCCTTTGTTTACCAGAGTCACAAATATTTTGCCTGGCAGAATGGACAATTGGGCGAGTTGGTAAGAGTTCATTATAATTTACAGCGCGACTAGGACAAGTACAGACAGAGAAGAAAACACAGGACAAGCGCTGAACTAGCACTGCTGCTGCTCGTGCAGGCATGCCCGTCCGTGGCCCTGGCGCTTCTTCTTTCACTCAACACGAAACCGGCCAAGTTATCCGAGACCCAAAAAGCTGATATTTTTTGGATCTCGGATAAAAAGGGATGCCAACCCCTTTTTAACAACACGATAGTGATGTTCCGACACAACCACAAACTACCCCGAGAAATGATGGAGACGTACCACATAACACAAAACGGATCCTTGTGTGTTAGCCAGCCCACAGTGACTTTGATGAAGAGCGAGATCGGCTTCCTGGGGATCTCGGATAACTTGGCCGGTTTCGTGTTGAGTGAAAGAAGAAGCTCCAGGGCCACGGAGCGGCATGTCTACAGGAGCAGCGTGCATCACATGTATTTTCTTTTCAATAGAATCAGTTGCTATTTCAGCGCTTGTCCTGTGTTTTCTCCTTTGTCTGTTCTAGTCGCGCTGTAAGTTATAATAAAAATATTTTACCTAAATCAAAATGTACAAATATAATAGTAAACAGTTGAGCTGGTTGGTACATACCTGTAAATAAATGAGCTTGAACTTTAGAACGATACTGTTCTTTCCTGTCCTTTCTTCGCGTTTAAAGGGGTCATGAAACGATTTTCCTACTTCTTCCTCCTTAGCTTTAATCCTCAACTCAAATGCAAATTCTGAAATCACGTGGTCGTGACATTCCTTCGGCATCGGTGCGATGACTCCTAGCTTCCACCGTACTTTTTATCCACACCATAGAACTTGTCATCCCCCAGTGACAATAAGTTCCGTCAGGGCACTCATTGGCCACGAACGCGAATCCAAATATTCGTCGACGGATTGATTCTTGACGAGCGCATACGTCCGAGTGACGCAGTTCTCGTGTCCAATGCGTGAGCTGGGCTCTGCTGACGTCAGTTTGGCGCCGGTGCCGCGCTTTTGGAACTGCGGATGTATCATAGTGAAAAGGCGGAGAGCTGTCGAAGGCAAGAAGGTACAAAACAGTCCGCTATATTTTCAAATGTTCGTACCGAAAAGCTGGCTTTTGACTTTCTAGCCTCTTTCTTTGGGCCAACTAAACGATATGTGATTAGTAAAGTCCCAATTTAAAATCATTCATCCCAACCCAAAATTCGTTTCATGGCCCCTTTAAGCCTAGTTATAAATTTCAAACTGATATATTTACAAGGTATCAAAATGGTGTGGCGAAATGTGGTAGGCAGCACAAAATACCCGTGATGGGTACAATTTTGCGTCGCAGTTTTAAAAGTGAAATCGTGGTTGCGTCCTTGAACTAAGGAATTAATTACAGGTACCTTTTTTTAAATATGAGGCACCTTTTCGCCTTGGTTTTTTTATATTTCACATATTTCGTAAACCATGAATATGGTTTACGAAATATGTTTCACTATACATAAATACAACACGGGCACTTCACACCATCGTACGTGGTCTCCGAGGAGGATATAAACGAAATTGTGCAGATGAATGAACCGTACAGAATCCAATGAATTAAAGAATTCAAGTTTCCAGGAACCCGCCGAAAGCCAAAAAACGGCGGAGCCAGGCTTTCGTTTTTTGGCTTCCGTTTTTTGGCTTTCGGCGGGTTCCTGGAAACTTGGATTCTTTAATTCATTGGATTCAGTACGGTTCATTCATCTGCACAATTTCGTTTATATATATATATATATATATATATATATATATATATGAGGACGAAACAACTGAGCTAAAAGCAATAACGTTTCCAGAATGTCACGAAAGTTTTAGGACAATCCCTTTCAGTCTATATTTTATAGAAACACCGAGCGGCAGTCTGAATGCTTATTTTTCTAACCAAACATTCTTTACACTCAGCACCGCGATGCATGCGACAAATCATGCAGAAAGGAGTAACCGAAATTGTTCACTATAATCTATACTCAGCTTCGCACTCAGGTCGAATCCGTACAAAAATAGCGCTTGCCCAAGTGAATATTTTCTTATACAAGATAAACCGGCATAGCCTGACTGTTACGCTTTGTTCTTGGCTAGAGGCCGGTCAATTCAATTGGCAATTAAGCATCGTCCTTGCTAATTGAATATTTTAACGCGATAGTGTTAAGGAGCTCCTGTCGCAGAAAAGCCGATGTTGGTGGCGTGACGGAAAAATTCTGATTGGTCAATACGGTCATTACGTCACAACTACATGTCCTCGTCCAAAAAGTTTAAACAACCCACACAACGCTCACATGAATCGGCACGTAACGCGTGGAATGAAAACGATAAAGCATGAAATGTAAAGCGAATTGGAGGTCGCCGCATGGCTCAAATGATTTCACTTTATATAGTAACTAATTTGCCTTAACGAAAAACACTTTGCAGAATTTATGGCGGGATTCGAACCAACAAACCAACGGTAGCGAGCCAGACGCGCTACTGACTAGGCCACGCAAGGATTTGTTTTTTCTTTATTGCGCAATGAAAGCACCATCGGCCCAAGTATATTAGAACAATCTACAAGTCTTATGTAGAGTACATTAAAAGCTTCCCATTTCAGTGAGCGTTTTGCAAAGGTTGAGCCACTCGGGTTTGGTATCCCGGTTTGAAAACACACTTTCCTCCTGCTTAACCAGATTGAAAAAATAAAGCCTCAATTCCTTCGCATTTGAGTCGGCATGGCGGAGAGCCATGTGCGACCTCTAAATTCTACACAAGCCTAATAACATAAACATATCGTACGGAACTCCATCATCATTACTTACATTCAAAAACCGTATGCCGGATTGGGTAATGCACGACTGCTTCTTCAGCGTGCGCTGAAGCAAAAAAAAAAAAAAAAGAAGAAAAAAAAAAAAAGAAAAAATAGCGTCCCAGCAAATGGACGCTTTGCAGCAGCTGTGCATGGGCGCCGCCATAAGGGACCTTCAATTTTTGTTCCCTCTTATTCCGTTCGCTTCACTTCATCATCACCACATCAGGACAAGTTATTGCCATTTTAGATGCGACTGTATTCTTGTGCCCAGCATAGGCCCTTGTGAAGACCCGTCAACGCCCGCTTCAGTGGCTCGGCATCTCGGTAAGACAAGAGAAGGGCGGCTTTGGCGGCTCAATTTGGCGCGTGTGTAAAGCGTCTATATGAATACATGTTCGATGGTTTCGGGTTTATTACATAAAATACAATCAACCGACCACGGCACACCAATACCCTTGGCTTGAAGCCACACTTTGACTGGCAGCGGCTAGAGTGTAATTTAAGAAAGAGAGTTTTTACTGAAGGGGGTATAGACCTTTGTCTGGAAGTGCTCTTTTTAGCCTCGACCGCAAGGAGCAAAAGCGAACAATAATCTCGAACCCAGACGCTCACGGCGAGGAGGGGCTGCGTCGGCCTGCGCCGCTGCTTCCCTCCGCGGGATTCTTCTCTGGTGTGCCGACTGTTGTTTCGCCGTCATCAGTCCTGTTTACCGCGGTATGTGAGTATAGTGCCCGTAATGGTGAGAGCCGTTTGTCCATACGCCACTTTGCCGCTGTTGGTTTCCATCTAGCCGAGCCAGAAAACATCTCGCGACGAGTTGACCGCACCACGAGTGACGAAGAAAAACCAAACATGGCGACGGTTTGTACGATTGCTTTGGTGGCTCCGGTGCTGCGTGTCTTCAGCGTCCTCGCGAGAAGATTTCCCTGCCCTTTGAGGTTATTGCAAGCACCACAAATGGTACGGAAGATGTGGAATCATCGTCTCAACTACAAATAAGCAGGCCTTCACGAGCAACGACGATGCCGAGCAGGCGCTCGGCACCGTTGTGTCGTCAGATATTCTACAACGCCGAGGTATTTTCATTTATCATTTGGAATGGCTTCAAGAGTGGGAAATTAATCAATTTCGCGGATTGTTAACGCCGAGGCAAATGCCCTCCATTGCAGTGCCGTTGCCGCGCAAGGTGCAGAGAAAACCGGGTGGCGGTGGCGGCGGTGCTCTTTGATTGCTTTGATCTTGCGCCGTCGGGTTCATGGAGTCCGGAGTAAACGTACGTACGTGCGTCTGCTGGATCGGTGTTTTGGACTGCCTCAAAACTCTTTCTCATGCGCATTTTCCTTGTGAAGCTTAGTAGCTCATTACACTTCGTCGTCGACTGGGCTCATTTGACTACGACGCACGAGCCTGCGTGATGTGAATTTCACTGCCTAAGATCTTTGGTGTGCTGTAACGAGGGCTAATACAATATCACCGCGAACTTCTGAACAAACGTGTCGAAGTTTCGTCTGTTATCATAACTGATCGCCTGACACAATATTAATCAGTAGCGTTCCTAGACTCCGCCCCCAGAGGCACCCTGCTTCGTTGCCCGATAGTAAGTGTCCACTGGTACCTCGTAGAATCCCAGCCCCCACTTCAAGTACCACCCTTTAGAACTGGCAATGATAGTCTCGAACCCAAACGCTCGCAGCGTGTATGTGTGTGTGTGTGGGGGGGGGGGGGGGCGATAGACCGCGACCTTTCCCAGTACTAGCAGTGCTAGCACGTTGCCGGCGTCCGTCTTGTTTACCGCCGTGTAATGTATCAGAGCGATTCGTCCGGACGGGACTGTGCCATTGTTGGTTGTACGAACAACCAGAGGAAACGCATGATTCTTTTAAACACCCACTGGCCGTCACACATTTGCCTAAGAAGCGAGTGCTGATGCGACGTCTACGGCTGTGTCGGTGCATTCGGACAGCCTGCCGCATCCAGCTCCCTAAAGCAACGCCGCCAACGCAGCCCCCCCTCCCCCCCCCCCCCCCCTCCTTCCTGTCTGCCAGTTCTTTCCGCGTGGTGGCGCGAGCGTAGATAAACATGGCGGCGCGCTGGAGTTGGCGTGGACACTGGTCTATAATCATCCTTTTCACACGCTTCAACACATTCTGGCCTCCACTAGGAACGACACTTCTATACAGGGGGATCGGAAATAAACTGGTCAACAAATCGCTCAGAAGCGTTTTCTTACTCACACCAGACAAGTATTAAAACGAAAAACGGACAGAAAAAAAAAGAACGGCATCAACCACCTCCTTGTGATCAGTCTTGGGCAGTAACGCGTTACTAGTAACGCGTTACTGTAGCACATGGAAGCACGTGTGTTCTACAAAATTCTTATACACCGGCCGCACATTGATATCAGCATGACGTACCGCCATACGGCATCGCCATATACTGTGCAGTCCAATGAGCATTATCATATAATAAGGTAGAGTACCTTCTTCGCGATCTTTAGAAGGAAGGCCTTTTTTATGGTGCTTTC